AATTTGGAGAGGTGGTTGTTGAAGTGGAACTAGATGTCGAAGCAAACAGAGACTGAGAGGGAGGAGAAATGGCTGAGTTGCAGATTGCAGTGGTGTCGGTACTAAAATAAGAGTTCCTATGGGAGTAGGAGTTGGACTTTGTTCTGTTTCAATAATGCCGGGAAATGAATCTTCATCAAAAACAACATGGCGGGCGATGAAAACATGCCCTGAAGGAGCATGGAGACATTGGTACCCTTTGTGAGAGGTAATGTATCCAATGAAAATACATGATAGGGACCGAAACTAAAACTTATTTCTGTTGTAAGGCCGCAAAAAAGGATAGCAAACACACCTAAAGCATCGCAATTGAGAATAATCAGGTTTCTAAAAAAGTTTCTCATAAGGAGACATACCATGCAATGCCTCTATTGGCAATCGATTTATCAAGAAAACTGCAGTTTCTACTGCATCAACCCAGAAGGAGAAGGGGAGCTTGGAGGAGGCCAGTAGAGATAAGGCAGAATCGACCACATGTCTGTGCTACCGTTCTACGGGTCCATTCTATTCGTGTGTATGAGGGCACGACAAACAGTGTGTTATTCCTTGCGAGTCCAAGTACCGGGAGAGAGAGCGATACTCTCCACCCCAATCTGATTTAAATACCTTGATTTTGGTATTGAATAAAACTTCTACATGTCTCTTAAATTTAATAAAAACATCACACACATCTGATTTTCGAGCAATAGGATACACCCAAGAAATTTTGAAAAACCATTTAGAAATAAAACATAATATGAGAATCCATTATTTGATTGAATGGGAGCAGGTCCCCATACATCTGAAAATATTAAATCTAATGGATGCTTAGGTTGAGAAATAGATGACTTCAAGGGCATTCTATGACTCTTGCCCATTTGACAGGACTCACAAATAGACTCATTAACACTAGAACGAATAAACGGAAGACCAAACTGTGAAACAACTTGTCGTACATTGCGCAGATTTGCATGACCAAGACGAAGATGCCAACCATGAAGAAAAGGTGTGTTCTCCACGAAGAGCTTTGGGAGAGATAGTGGCTGACATAGGAAAGTTGTATAGGTTGTCTCTACTGGTTCCTCGAAGTAGGATTCTCCTTGTATAGTCCTTCACATAGCAACAATCACAGTGATATTCAAAAAGATAAATTATTATCCCTGGTAAATCGACTGACAGATAATAGATTCTTGCAAATGGAGGGAACATGACAAATATCTCTCAAAGAGAAAGCATGTTGATTAAAAATCATAGAAGAAGATCCTATAAGATGAATATTCAAACCTTGACCATTGCCGACCTTCACTTGATCTGGTCCAGTATACTCAGTGTGATTCTGCAGATTGTCTAGATTTTGAGTCACTTGTGTCATAACTCTTTCAGTGAGAGAGGAAATCAGCCAACTCAACAACAGTTGGTTAATATCAGTCCATTTTTCGAATTCAAGGTTTACAATCATTTTTGTACCATCTGGGTTGGGTATCACTCCAGGCGGTGGCTTCTTCTTCCCTTGTACATGCTCCAATAGGTGGTGGTGTCAAAGGATGGGAAGGAACTGGGCACGCCACAAGAGGTAATTGCCACTTCCAAGTTTGATAAGAAAGTAATGAGTCACATTCTAGATTGAAGGGAGCGCACTACTCGTGGACAATCTATTATTGGAGGTTACAGGGCTGCTACCATGTGTGCCTGTCTCTGTCAACATGGCTCTGATACCAAGTTAAAGCAGACAAAGAAAATAAAAATGGCAGTAATAAATTAAAGAGAAATAAACACAAATAATAATATGCCTAACCTGCATTGATGGGGGGCGAATCAGCCATATTTATAGTTTACAGATATTCAATTATAGTAGAACTATACAAGATGAGAATTCAAGAGATAGAGTTTATCTGGGTTAGTTGAGATAGATCTTATCTTAGGATAGGATTAGGATTATCCTAGGTTTATTTAGGATAATTCTTATACCGGGTAGAAGTAAGATTATCCCAGTTAGTTATATACAAGAGTCCATTGGAATTGATTATGCTAAATGGGCTTGGAAGTTACATAGGTGTGCATGGACCATGCATGGGCCCATGGACGTCTACGTTATCAATCACCAATCTGATTTTCGATCTCCACTCCATTTCCCTAAATTTAAACTTCATTATGTCAATTCATTTTCAGTTGCCTTTTTCATTTCATCTTAGGTTTCTTCATCGACTGTGATGCCACTGCATGCTCCGATATCGACGGCCTATCATCGGTCCCCGACAACAAGTACGTCTTCCCAGGAGTGCCCAAATCAGTGATTATACCCGATAACCCCTACTTAGTCCGGACTCTTTCCACCTCCGATCTTTCTCTCTTGAAGGTTGTATTCGTCGGAAATTCTGCTACGTTCTATCGGTCACCCGCTATGTTAAATACTTTTATGGGGGAATCAATGGTATAAATTTGCCTCCAATTTTTTATTAGAGAGTTGGTGGGGTGTTCCGGAGCATCGTGAACACGACGGAGGATTACGCCATAGGGAGATGATCTTAGTATGGAGTCTTTGTTGCTGTTGGGAAGACGATGAGCATTTGTGTTGCTGGAAATACGTACGGATTTAGATCCATTTATCTCTACTTCGGAAGTTGTTCGTTTGGACATTAATTTTTTATTTTTTGTTTTTTAAATTTAAAACTCCAGATTCCCTGATGACAAATTTGATCGATACTAGGAACCATTTGAAGAGATCAGTCCTACAATACAAAGCTTTAGAGATCTCTCAATTTGGAATCTTCCGCCCTGAGACGTATTTAGCACTGAGTTAACGTCTGACCAAGGAATGCCTAGGGAGTTAATGACAACTGTCATTCACCAGTGACTGTTGTTGATCGACATAATTCGTTCTTCACCGGTTAGTTATTTTAATACCCATTTTAAAAAAGAATAAAATGGGTATTTAGAAAAAAAAAAAAATATATATATATATATATGCATCGTTTAACGTTTTTCCTATGAAACTACATGAGAAAATTTTACCCTTAATAATTTGACTTTGTTCTATTAATTTATTAAAAACGGCTCAGTCAACGCCACTTACAAGTCACAATCCCATTAATGGTGAGAGTAACTAGGTTATGGATAGCCACTAGCCGGCAGGTCTCGTAAGTACATGGACCACATGGTTGAGTAATTACACATTGGATTTTGACGAGAATAGAAACGAATTAGTCTGTGATTCTCATTCCGCCCCCACAAACGCCCCATTGTCACGAGACATCCCGCCGTTTATTGTGAACATCTCCCGATGATATATATATTCACAATACACGGCAGGATGTGCTGTGGGGCGGAGATGTGAGCTTGATCTGTATCCGCGTATTGCAGCCAGACATGCATAATGGATCCAATTTCATGTTGAGACGTGTGAATACAGATTATATTACAAGTCTGTTGGAATAGTTTTTGTTGTGAAATGAAACAAAAAAATAAAAAATAGATTATGTGTTTGGTTGCATGTAATTTTATTACATTAGTATAAATGTATGGGAATGCAAATTCTCATTTAATTTTGTTTTGGATGTTACTTTATTTTATTTGGTCTTAATTTTTTTCATTTAAACTATAATAAAACAAAATAAGCTAAAATTTGAAATAAAAATAAATCTGAATTTACACTCAAATTATTCAGTTCAAACTGAATTATCGAATCAAAGATTTTGGTTTCGGTTTTTTTTCATTTTTTTAATAATTCAGTTCGGTTAATTCGATTTTTAGCAATTTTGGTTTTCGGTTTCAGTTTTTAGATTTAAAAATTCAGTTAACCAAAAAAACCGAATTAACTAAAATTCATTATATAATATACAATATACATATGATATATATTTATATATTAATATATTACATATAATGTATTATAATGAAATTAAATTTCATAATATATATTATAGGTTATAATATATAATATTACATATATATTAATTAAATTCAATTTTAACCAAAAACTGAACCGAAATTTTTAATTCAGTTATTTCCATTTTATTGTAATTCGGTTTTGATTCAATTTTCATTTTTTTATTTTAATTTTAAAAATTTGATTTATTCAATTTGGGTTTTAACCAAATAAACCTAATGCTCACCCTAGCCATGATTTTGCATTTGCAAAGCAACCAAACACAGCCGAACGGATCCCAACTCCATAAGGATGCAGTTTTATTGGGTAATCAGGCGATTAATCCGCTTAACTCATAAATACCGCTTATTTAACCTGAACCCAAAAGGCCAGCGGTTTCTGATTTTCACCTCCTGACCATCCCGGTCGGATTCGAGACTTACAAAACTGGTTTGGATTTCATGATGTCTTCTTTGTTATCTCTACTCAACAACATTAATCCATGTATAAGATTCCAACTTGATGGATGGTTTTGATTGGCTACATCAATTTTCTATAGAAAAAAAATGAGAGAGAACTGTTCCCGGGCTAGGTTTTGTTTATGTATCAATTTTATTCAGGCTCAAACCCGAATTGGATCATAAATTTGAAAATAGAATTTTTTTTATTTTTATATAATAAAATATATTTTATTAAATAAAGTATATTTTTTATTATTTAATATATAATATTAAATTAAACTTGGGCCTTTTTAAAAAAACTCAAGTATGACTAAAAAATCGAACCTGATGTTTTAAACTTCAACCCGAACTCACAAACCGAAAATTATAACCAACTTAGTATGGACGGGCCCGTCAGACTACTCGACCATGAAAAGGTCTAAAATCTAGAGAATTGATAAAAAAATTAATTTTAGGAATTTTTATACTACACTCCACCTCAAAATTCTGATTTGAATAGCAGACTTACCACAACAATTCAAATTTATTCATTTTACGGTGGGCGTCTCCTCTCTCTCTGCTACCGAATTCGTTCATTTATTAAATCCGATGGGCTGGTCAATAGATAGAGATGGTTTCGTGGTCTGCGACGGTTTCCTCCGTGGACAAGGCTGCTCTTTTTTGTTTAGCACGAGATTGGAATTTTGGAATTGGAGCCCACCCCGTACAACTCTTTGTTTTATCATTTTCTATCACGCGCATAGCCCCATTGCACCAGATACGGCTCTCACTGGACCTTTGTTTCTCCTTACGATTTCAGCTAACAATATTTAGTTTTGGGCATTTGACTCACAAATGCGTCACTTTTCTCTCGAGTCTGTATGTTCTTGATTCCGAATCCTCTATTTATTTAATTGAACTTACCCAAAACAGTGGTTTGATTCTTCGCAGTTTCTCAGAACTGTTTCAATGGGGATGACTGGATTGTTTGACCTCGAGAAGCATTTCGCATTCTATGGGGCTTATCATAGCAACCCTGTAAACATATTCATACATATGTTGTTTGTTTGGCCAATCCTCTTTACATCTCTTGTTCTTCTTTACTTCACACCTTCTCTTTTCGGCCCCCCTCACGTTGAATTCTCTCCTTTCGGGAGCAACGTTAATTTGGTTTTCAATTTCGGGTTCTTGTTAACTTTGATCTACGCGTTGTTCTACATCGCCTTCGATAAAAAAGCTGGTTCCTTGGCTGCCCTTCTCTGTTTCTTCTGTTGGGTCGGGAGCAGTTCTCTTGCAACCAAACTTGGCTATTCCCTTGCTTGGAAGGTAATTGCGAGCTCTTTATTTCTCCTTCTTGTTCACGAATCTGATGTGGGTTTCTATTATTTTGTGGAATTAGATATCGTATCTTTCTACCGAATGGTACATTGATGGGGTTGCTTTGCTATTCTGCTATGTTATTTTGCAACTTGGGTATCGAATTCTGTTATTTTGGAACTTTTTATTTGTTTTATCCCTATGTATGAGTAATTATTTGCTGTGTGTGTGATGAAAATTCTGTCTTTGATTCATCTGTCATTACCAAGGGGATATTTTGTTTGTTTTATGCCTTTTCACAATAAACGATTAGAAGGAAAACGTTTCTGTTTTGTTCACAAACTAGTGTAGTTTTTACTTCTAAGTTCTAATATTTGATATTTAAATCAAGTCATTTTAACTTTCTGTCCTTTCATTCTTGTCATCATGGCTATTCACTATTGGTAAATTCTATTTCTTCTGGAGTTCTAATTTCATTTCTCTTACTCTGAATAATTCTGTAAGGTGAAAAGTAAACTTATTATTTGTTTTATCTTTCTATGTGAATAATGTGTTGCAAAAGATGTATTGATTTCGTGTAGTTGGAATTACTATACAATCTGTAAGTTTCTAATGTTAAGTACATCATGTTAGTACTCTTTTTTTTTTCCTTTTCTTTTTGATAAAGATGTTAGTAACTCATTTGCTTTGTGTCGGATATTTGTCTCTTTCAGATGTGGAATCTTGTCTCCCCTATCCTGTGCTCTTTTAATTCTAGATCTGATGGGTTTTCTCAGGGACCATTCCTTGGTGCATGGTAAAATCTTGGGTTGACAATTGTGAGAACACAGGTTGCTCAGAGTAGCAGCTTTATGTGAGAAAATGTCAAATGTTAAGGTCATATCCAGTTCACCCATCCCAAGACTCTTAATAGTATTATGCAATAGCCCTTCATGTGATGGGTTTATCAGTTGTAGTATGGTCGGGCATTCCTTTGTTCATTCTGATAGTTTTCACCGCATAAAGCCTACTTCTGTTATTTGCTTGCTGCAGTCCTCTTTTCTTTGTTTTTTATTTTCCCTTTGGTTATTTGTAATCAAAGAATGGGTATTTTAAGACACGGTTGGAATGGTTAACACTGCATGACCTTTTCATTTTTTTTTTCATACCTGACAGATCTAAGTAAGTTGGCTTGTTGGTTTTCTATCTTCTTTTTTTGTTATATTAATCAGAAATTACCTTGTTTTCCTTGATTTACTTTTGTTTATCTGACTTAGTTGTGGTATTTAGGAATTGTTTCTGGTTTCTCTTCTTCTTCAACCAGTTCTGTTTATCTTATGTTATCATTATGTCTCTTTGTTTTTCATCTTTCTTTCCTTTACATTTTTCTAATCCCTGCAACTTTAATATTAAAAACTTAATGCTTTTGCCTTTCATTCCAATGGACCTTTGTCAGTGACTTGGCAAATCACTGCTAAGTTTATCATTTGCACAGTTGTGATCAACATTTCACACAGAACCTCTCCCAAATCGAATATGGTCTTCTCTGAGTAAAAGAATATAATTTCTCCTTTTGCATCATATGTTGTTGGGTGTTGATTTTTTTAACCCTGCACAAGTTAGAATGGCCCTTCAGTTTTTGTTTTCTATTGATCAATTTGTGGCATTTCATGTTAGCCTAAGCAGAATTATTATCTTTCTGTGCTAGGGTTGCATTGTAGGAAACCTCATATATCAGACTGTTTGGAGAACATCTTTTCCGAATTTTGATGTTTCTACGCTCCTTTGCTACTTTGATTCTGCATTCCTTAATGCTAGAAAATACTTGAAAAGCTTAAACTCAATTCAGAATTTGGGTCTTTTTGATTCTAAATTTGACATGAGCCTGCACTGAATAATGAGAATGCTATCTCTCTGAGGACCTGGATAATTGGATCAATAAATCCCAAGAGGCCAAAACTCTCGTCTTCATGTTCCTGAATGGTGGTCGCAGTCTGATAGGGTTTTATATTCTTTTCCTCATTTTTTCCCATTGGGGTTTTGCAACAATGCTATAGAAGCATTTTATCTTTAATTGCACAAAAAACAAGCATTATGAGGTTAACAAAATAGCTATGGATGTTTAGACTGTACAGAGCCAAATAAAAGTTTGAGCTTAGAATAAATTTGGGACTCATCTCTTTTCTTGATGGTTCTATAATGAGAAATTCAGCATTTCCAACAATGGAGATATCTAGGTGATTGCCTTTTCAATCATATTAACTTTGTTGTGGAAAAGAAAGAAAATACTAGGAGGTAGCCTATTAAGGAGACTTCAGGAAAGGTGGACTTAAAAAGAGGAATAGGGCAAGAATAGGATGTGGAAACTCAGAATGGGGCAGTAGGTTAAATGCATATGGAACATAGTAACTAATGAAGCTTCCTGGTTATAGAATAGAGGAACATAACAAATACTCCAGCAGCTAACAGGGTCAGGGCAATAAAAGATTCATAATGATGACAACCATAAAACTTAGACCATAGCATTCTCAGTGTATAACGGGAAGAACAGTTGTATGATATTAATAGTTGACTTGAAGATTCGGATTGTCAGGGATGTTTTGTTTTAAATTTGGATGCTTTTGAAGTTTATGTTATCTACTCATTGTCGTTCAGTGATTACAGCAAAGACCTACTGTTTGGACTGGTTATATATATACATACACACAGTGTTTTCAACCCACCGTTGACCCGACCATTTGAACCGTCACCCGGCCAAGATTCCAGGTCTGGCTCAGTCAAGACCCGTCATACAGTAAAAAACTGTTGACTTGGTCAAGAACTGTTTGACCCAGCCGGTTCAACTGCTGACCAGTTCGACCCGGTCACCGGGTCGTGGGTTGCACACTCAATGTAATGCAAACTTTTGAAGGCCATAACTTTATCCGATTGGGGTGATTTTTTTTTATTTTGGGTAACTTTTCGAGATCTATGCGTCCAAAGCTGTCATAGGCGCCTTGCCCCACTATTTTTGCGAAAAAAAACCCTTTTTGGCCTCAAATTCCAATTTTTAATATTTTTTATAAATAAAAAACTAAAAACTGAGTTAAAAAATATAAATGAAATATAAAAATACATATAACATATCTAAAACGTATTTATACATATGTATATATGTACACACACACACATATATATATAGATATACTTAATACATATATATGACGACGTGGAACGGTCTGAACCGTTCGACCCAGCCAGTCGAACCGGTGACCGGTGACCCAGAGGCAAAAACAGTTTGGCCTCTGGGTCGGTTTTAATCATCTCAAATAGATACTGATTTGTTGCCTACTAAAATTTCAGCAATTAATAGATTAGTTATGGTTGGCAGGTGTACTTTGAATCCTTGATGTATGGATTTGAGTTGTATTGATCATGCACAAGACGGGAATCATGCATATTTCAGTTCTCAAAAAAGTTAGAAAAGCAAGATAAGATCCGTAAAAAACATCACAGACATGTTAAAGCACCTTCTGAATATATGAAAAGGATAACTTACTGGTTATGTTTTATAGGGGTGCTCACGGTTTGGTTAACTGAACCGTGGGCCTTTTTCTAAACCAAACTGATAGTACTGGTTTTTGGAAAACCGGTAACCGAAACCAAATTGAAGCTGATCGATCAACCGGTTGATAGGTTTGTTTAACTGTTGGTTCAGTTCGTCAGTTTTTCGGTTTTCTATATTCATAATATTATATATAAACAAATATTATTTTATATTATAAATATATATTTATAATTTATAATGCATATATATATATATATTCATTTATAATATATAAATAATATAAACTATATATAATATAAATATATGTATACTGGTCGGTTTGGTTAACTGGAATTTTCAGTTTGGTCTTGTCGGTTCAGTTCTGTTTTTCAGTTTTTCTTGATCACCCTTAATGTTTTATCATGGTTATGTTTGAAAAAAAAAAAAAAAACAGAGTATGTTTTACAGTGATGCAAATGTAACAGTGTCTTGAAGGATTAGCTTATGGTAAAAAATAGAAGAAATTTTACATTATATGGTTGGGTCTATGTGTCCAAAGCCTAATGATGCAGCTTTCTTGGCAGTGAGTTCACAAAATCCTTAGCTTCCAGAAGCATGAATAAGATTTAGGACAAACAAAAGTGAGATAAAGTTACTTTGGAGCCCAAAGGAATATAAGCTTCATGGACGATTGAGGCACATAGTGCACATTTAGTCAATGAATGCAACATTGAATCTATAAATTCTAAGCTTGTCCATCTTTGTTTCTTGTGCTATGGTTGGGCCAAGGGGAGGCTTCTTGGCAAATTGAATGTGTATTGGCTCTTGTAGATGGACAAAGTACCAATGTTGGACAGGTCTAAAATTCTGACACTACCTATGAAACAGTTTTTGGATTTTCTTTTTTTGTTTCTTTCTTTGCATGACATAAATTATCATTTACCATGCCTTATGAATTTTACCTTTTCCTGGAAAAAGTTTCAAAGGTGGCAAAAATTACATTTTTATAGTTATTTGTCCTTGTCTGTTGGTGTATGATACAGTATATTGGCTATCCCATTGCTTAATTCAATATATTTATTAGGAAAAAATAATTACTTGCTTCTACTTGGTAATAATACTACGTTTTTTCTTGTTTTGTTGGTTCACCAATCTACAGCTTTATGGACAGTTTAAACCATATGCTGTCACTGTACAATTGTAATAGCTTACAATTTTATGCCCATGCCTCTGTGTATTTCGTTACAACCACTTCAAGTGCCCAACTTTCAAAGGTCTTGGGTCATCTAGGATTTTCTTTTAAAGAAGAAAAAGCCATTTTGATTCCATTTGAAATGAATATGTCACTAGGAAAGCCATTAGAGTAGATGATCCCTGCAACATTAATCACTAATTGTAATAATTTCAAAAATTATGAAAGTGGCCAGTTACATGGAACATCTGACAAACTAAATCCTACTTTAATTTTGTACTCTAACAAAGGTTATGGTCAACCTGGATCAGCCACCAGTCTCTTGTTGAAGTTTCTGGTTGTTAAACCTAACTCATGAGCATTTAGTACAATGACAAAGGTTATAGACAACTTGGACAGTTGGACCAGCCACCAGTCTTGTTGAAGTTTCTGGTTGTTAAACCTAACTCCTGATCAATTAGTATTTCGTATGTTCTATTTTCCAAGATTGAATATATTGTTGAGGCATCTTGTTTCTCATTTAATTTCAATTATTCTTCAGGTTGTTCTGGCAGCGCAGTTGTTCTGTTGGACTGGACAATTCATAGGCCATGGGGTCTTTGAGGTGATTTATTGTTCTAATGTGAAACATGATTCATCATTACCGTTCAGGTTTATACAACTTATTTTATACTTGTGTAGAAACGGGCACCTGCCCTTTTGGACAACCTTGTTCAAGCCTTTTTGATGGCTCCTTTCTTTGTTTTGCTAGAGGTAATTTTCTAAAGTTTTTCAATTCTCTGATGTTTCTCTTATTTTAAGAGTAAGTTGGGCATACTTCATTATTGGTTGTTGCAGGCTCTTCAAATGTCCTGTGCTTATGAACCATACCAGGGTTTCCATGCAAATGTGAAAGCAAAGATTGATGCTGAAATCAAAGAATGGCAGGCTAAGAAACAGAAGAAGATTTCCTAGTTTGGAGCTAGGGTGTCAAAGCAGAACATTTCCTATTTCACAGTAGGGGATAGTCTGCAGTGAATACTAGTTGCATAGAGTTGTGGATCCTTCATCTATGTTCAATTGCATCCATGATAGACTATAGCTTCTGTACATCAGGAGATATACCTTATGAAAGCAACATACAGGTTTCATATAAATATGGTGTTTCATATTGCTTGAAAAATTGCATTCTGGATATAAGACATACAAATGGCACTAACTATGGCTGTTTGAGTCATTGGAGATTCTATTAGAGATGCGTAGGGAGAAATATAATAAATAAAAGATTACAATCATCTGATCTGGTTAATCCTTGGACCTAGGAAATCTATTTGATGGGATGAAAACATAACCTTCTGGTTGTAGTAAGGTAAGCTCTGTTTTATCCTTTTTTTTCATTTTCAACAAATAATATGTATTAATTCAAAAGGGTGTACATGAGCGGTCCATCACAATAAAATTATGGGAACATAGATCTATAGCTATACAAAGAGGCCCTCTCCACCCGAACTAGCAAGTAGATCAGAAACAAAGTTAATTCCCTTGTAATCCATTTGAAATGAATTTTTAAGCATCCTGTGATTTCCCTATATTAATTCAAAAAATCGAGCCAATTTCATGGACCTTCTCCCTAGATCCTTGATCTATCTGCTCTCATTTACTGAAGCCCCTTCCACAGATAAGGAGAAAGGACAAGCTGTTTTGCCACTGGACGGCCTGTAGAAGATCAATAACAAAGCTTTAGCCTTTAGGAGAAAGGACCAAACTGTTTTGCCCTGGTTGTAAGAGAAAGTAATGATGGAACGGCTCTACGAAATAACACCTGTATGTTCTTAAGTTCTTTTCCTTGAGGCTCAGCTTGGGATGAGTGCATATACAAATATGTTCAGTGTATATCTAAGGAATCTAAACCTTGTAGTTGCACACTGAGCCAAAGTAATAGTTGTTTAAACAGCAGTAAATGTAATGTGTAAAAGGTTTACATTTTTATTAATTCAAGCAGGAAATTTTGTATTTTTCTACATACTTTAAGGTTGTTTTTTTTCTTTTCTTTTATTTTTCTCTTTTCTGTTGGTTTCAATATCTAGGTTAAAGTTATAGGAACTAATATATACTGAATTAAAGGAAACCTGTCATAAGCTTATAGCAGTTTTGCAGCAATTTGTTTACAGCAGTATGGACAGTGTGATTTGAATAGGCGATTACAATGGGCCCAATACAAATAAAAAATAAAAAAACAATAGAGGACATCCAAAATGTGGAACTTAAATTGGGTCAAGGAGAAATTCTGGTTTTAGGCTTTTAGCTTTAGTTGTAGTTGTCTTTTTCAGTTTTGGTTACTACAATATTTTTTAGTCGACTCCACATCCGAAGATACAGTACGGTGGACGCCAATGTAGCTGTTGCCAGGCTCTGGTTTTTGAACTCCTCTGCTCTTCATTGTTTTTCTTACTTCCAACATGTCATTCCACTGGCCTGCACTCGCATACATGTTTGCAAGAAGAACATAGTCTCCACTATGCTCTGGCTCCAACTCCAGAAGATGCCTTCTCACACATTCCCCTAGTTCAAGGTGCCCATGAACCCGACATGCACCCAACAGTGCCCTCCAAACAATTGCATTACACCTGATAGGCATGGTCTGTATCAGATGGTAAGCTTCCTCCACTAATCCTGCTCGTCCAAGAAGATCCACCATACATCCATAGTGCTTTATGGTTGGTTGAATTTGGTACTCCGTGTTCATACTTTCAAAATACCGTCTTCCTTCATCTACCATCCCTCTGTGACTGCAAGCACATAGCACTCCTAGGAAAGTCACATCATTCGGTGTGTTAAGCTTCCTTTCTACCATCTTGGAGAAGAGTTTTAATGCTTCATCAGCATGCCCGTGCATCGCGAGTCCTAGGATCATCGAGTTCCATGATACTATGTTCTTCTCATTCATCTCATTGAACACCTGACGCGCCTTTTCAATTGTCCCGCACTTGGCGTACATATCAATCAACGAATTGGAGATGGAAATGATACGTGCAAGACTGGTACAATTGATACGAGAATGGACCCACTTCCCAAAATCTAATGCACCCAATTCAGAACATGCAGAGAGGACCACAACCAAAGTGGCTTCATCGGGTTCTACGTTACTTTGTTGCATTATTGAGAACAGGTCCAGTGCTTCTTTGTATCGCCCACAGTGAACGTAGCAATCGATAATGGTGTTCCAAGCTACTAAATCTATTCTGGGTATTTCATCGAACAGCAAACGTGCGGTTTCAATGTCCTTAAGCATGCCGTACATGTGAATGAGGGTGTTCCTCACATAGACATGCGAGTCCAGGCCATGCTTCAGGGTAGAGCAGTGAATTTGCTTGCCCAACTCCACCCAACTCAACTGCCCGCATATCTTGAGCAAGAAAGAGTAGGTGAAGTTATCTGCTGTGTGTCCCTTATTCTGCATTCTCCTGTAGAAGTCGAAAGCAGCTTCCGGTTTGCTTGTATTTCCAAACCCCCTAATCATGGTATTCCAAACGAACCCGTCTGGATTTTGGATTTGTTCAAAGACTGAAATCGCGTAATCCATTGGTCCATGTCCGGACACTGCACAAAAGTTGATGATTTTGCCCACCACATAGAGGTTTTGGTCAAATCCAGTTTGGATGACTTGGGCATGAATTTGTATCAAATCCTTCATGGTGGAACACTGCTTCAAGAGGGAGAGGAGACTTTGTTCTCTTGAATTACTGCTCTCATGTGGATTTGATTTTAATGTTGTCGTTGATAATTTTGATGAAGGAAGAGGTAGTGATGGTGGTGTTGAGGAAGAAGATGCATGGAACGCCACCGAGAGAGACCATGATGCATGAAACCATGTTCTTTTAATAGAAAAACCAAGGGAAGGCTCAAGGTATGGTTTTAGGCAATTGAAGTAGTTGTTAGTATTCATACTCGATAACTAATAACCTGATTGCTCCGACTTCCAACTAAATTCCAATAGGCAACATCCACACTCCACATAAAAGGCAGAGCCCACTCAGCTTAATTTTATGATTGTTTGGGCTTCTAAAATGAGAATGGATAGAATATTGACACACCCATTCAAAGATCAACTTTTATTTATTTTTATAGAAAAGTGAGATGTTCCTCAAGCAGGGGTGCAAGTCGGGCGGGTTGGGCCGGGTTTATGGTCAATTCAGGCCCGATCCTAAATTTTGGACTTAAGGCCCATCCTATAATTCGATGCACTCGGGTTGGGCTTATGCAAATATATATATATACCCTACTTCTTAGTCTCGAACCCAACTCGTATAAAATTCTGGGTTGAGCCGGTTTGGGCTCAGACTGGGCCCGCCCAAGTTGCACCCCTATCCTTAAGTCAACTAATAGCCCGCCAAACAATTGAAGAGTACATAAACAGTAATTTGTTGGGGGTCAGGTGTGGACCAGTTCTCTCTCTCATTAACTTCTTATTCCATTTACTCATAATTTGATCAACTAAAATGGTAGGAAGTAGGAACCTAACAATTGAAATCCTAAATAAACCTGGGCCTCAGATCAAATGCAGTTCAAATTTAAAACCATTATTACTTTTTAAGTCTTCCAGAAGCCACATCATATTCAATACGTGTACTGTACGTGGTGTCCAAATACTAACTCTATTCTTACATGTTCGGGTCATGGTTGAGCTGGTCCAGAGAGATACATGGCCACCTAGTCATTGCCCGGTCAGCCCAGCCACGTCGGCATGGCTCGACCAACTCCGTGATATATATTCATTCCGCAGCTTAGGTCGGGCTACGTTATTATTGTGACCCCCCATCTTATCCTCTCAGCCATGTTAGCTACACGTTGCACGGATAAGCTTACCTCATCTTGACAAGCCCGGAAGCCCAATCCGACCAAGACACGGATCTGTGGCTATAAAATGGTATTCCATGCTCAAGGTAAGGGATCAAACTCCTAACACCCATACTTTCGCTTTGTTCAGCCCAATACACTCTTACCTCCTACTTACTTGAGCTTCGAAGTACCTACCTGGGGATAGCTCTCCAGGCCTCTGACTTCTCCTTTCTTGATCCCAGGTCTTGAAGCGCAGCCTCGTCCTTGTAGCTCGGCACCGCCCTATTGACAAGGATTATCTGGTTGCTCTCCTCAGTTCATGCACCACCTCGGATTGAGTAGCATCAAATTGGTGTCGTTTGTGGGAAACGCACAAAAAGCCTTTCCCGAAAAACTTTTCATCCTCACCACGCAATCAAGAAAGCGATCAAGATGCCCAAGAAACAGTTTGAATGATCAACAGGTCGATCCCCATCTCGAGAATCTCGGCATCGCAGTCCTCCTCATCAAGAAATCCCATAGCCTCCAGTTGTGGTTGATCCTATTCAATTCCGAGCAATGCAAGAGAAGGTCGATAAGATCTTCGAGATGATGCAGACACAAGGATCTGCAGCATCGCCCAACCGGGGCATCCCCCCTCATGCCCTATCACGTACGAAGGACGATCCTCATCCCGAGGACCCCAAAACGCGTCAACCGGAAAGGAGGGGAGCGTGGTACAAGCGTGAGAAGTATGACACAGCAAGAAGGTCCGCCTCCACAGCCCGCTCTCATGAGCCCAAAAACCGCAGTAGGACACACCAAACCACACGAATCCCCACCAAAGAGAGATTCGGAAGGCGGACGCCACCTCGCTTGGTCTCCGTCATGAAGTCCAACTCAGTGAAAGACCGCTCCACACGGCCCAAGAAGGAGAAAGTCGTGCGTACCGCGGTCTCAGATAACAGAGACATAAAAATCTGGGACATTCGACAATGATTAGAAGAGTTGGAGCACAACCAAGGCCAAAGAAGCACAGCGCTAGTTCTAGATCAGCCTGCACAGCCAGCCACACCAACTGCTAAGGAACCACCGTTCACCCAAGAGATCGTGGACGAGGTGCCTCCCACAGGGTGGCGGGCACCTCATCTCGACAAGTACGACAGGAATACTAACCCCACCAACCACATTGAGGTGTTGAAGGCTCAAATGATGTTGCACGGATCCTCTGAGGGATTGATGTACAAAGCCCTAGTGGCCACCCTTACAGGTCCAGCCCTAACTTGGTATTACTCCCTACCTCCAACGTTCCATAGCGTCGTGGGAGCAGCTAGAAACCCAATTCCGCACACAATTCACGGCGAGCCAAAAGCACTGGAAGACCTCAGCCAGCCTTATGCAGGTACGACAAAGGAAGGCAGAATCTCTCAAAGACTACTTGGCAAGGTTCAACAAGGAAGCACTACAAGTCCGGAACCTGAATCAGTCTGCGGCCGCCACCGCTATTCAACATGGACTCTGCCCCTCACCATTCAACTTCTCCATCTCAAAAAACCCTTCACAGACCCTAGCCGCACTAATGAGCCAAGCGCAGAAATACATCAATGCAAAAGAGGC